ACGCCGATACCACACAGCATGTGATAAGCGCCATATTCAAACAAAGAAACACCAACAACAGACAGCAGAAAGGAGTTAAGGATGTCTACTACGAAGTATATGTATGCAATGAATATAATGTTAAACATTCAGTATTAACGCCTGTATAGCTGATGTGCGTGAGCTTGTCGAGTGAATATATCTTTCTCACAGACATCACTGGAAAGTTTGTAGTTCAGTCGGATATGTAAAAAACAAGTAAGTAAAACAATGCACAAGTTACTTAATGATAGGCAGAGAGAGAGGGAGCGCAATTCTGTTGTGTGATCTTTGATGTTCACTCACTTAGCACACACATCATTTGGATTAAAACTAAATCGTAAAAATAAAACCATTTATAGGGGCATTCACTATAAACAATTTATTTTTAACCTTAGGCATACACGACTTTCTGGTGAAAGTGAAACTAACAGCCTGTGTGAAATGCGCTAGGCTGTACTATTCTGCATCAGTACTAATACGTGCATGCGCTGCACGTGTTTTTCTTGCTTGAGTGTTTCTGCATTATATGAGTGGCTTTGGAATATAAATCGCAGCACGTTTCTGATGAAAAAACGCGACTTCCATTTCTGAAAATATCACCGTTAGGAGATTTATAATGAGTGGTTCCCTGCATTATTACAGCAAAGCACGTGATTACAGTATACTACGCCACTGCAATGGAGCAGCTCTAATGCTGTTAAATTAAAGATGATGTACCACAGAGCAAAAAAATTTACAGTGAAAGTAACAGAAACTTGTAAAATACATTTTAATGGGCATAATTAAGCGTGAAAATAACCGAAGGATATACAGTGAAACCAAACATGATTCATAGACCAGATATCATTTTTTATATTTTTTTTACTAGTGGGTGCAGGACACTATAGTTCATTTATGTAAGTGAGGATAGCAAAATAAAGTAAACTGTGACAAATCATACCCAAAAATTCTTCATACAGTGAAAACACATACAAGTAAAATTTATACAAATTTGGGTCTAAAATTAGACCGAGTCTGGGGAAAAAATTGAAGTTCAGGTTTGCATGAAGCTGGATGACCGCATGCCCAGGAGACTAGGCTGTCATTAAGGCTAAAGGTTGCCCGACAAAGTATTCACAGTTGCGTAAATACTGTCATACTAACAGCTGTCTGAATACTTTTTGGTTGATTGTAATCTATTACATACCTTTCTATCAAAATTATCTAACATTATCAAGATGAATTTGTTCTGACACAGTTTAACTGAGTTCTTGTTATATTTTATTACCATTTTCTAAACTTTAGCAAATAAACTGTGATAATGTGAGAAATGTTGAAAGTGTCTGAATAAATTTTGGTTTGACTATCTATTTGATAAATGAAGTTAACCAACTAACATTATACACACCCTTTTGGTTTCTGTACCCAATATTAAAAAAAATGTACAACTGCAATAAAAATATCAGTATCGGTACTCGGTATCGGCAAGTAACAAAAATAAAAGTATCGGTATCGGGCGAGTACTGGAAAAAGTGATATCGGTGCATCCCTATTTCATATATATGTTTACGATGGAGAGTGCAAATAGCTGTGCATTTATTTATGTTTTTAACTTAATGGGAGCTAAATGAAACGGTCTGAACGCTTACGCTGTGTGTTGTCGGTCTCCCCTCTTCCCCCTCCACTCCGCAGTGCACCACGCCCACTTTTTTAGCATTTTTTAAAACTGTGGTGAGAACTAACCAGTGCTGAAACAGGGGGTTTCATGACCCTTTAAAATTAATTCTTAGTTTGTGGCTCATTATTACTTTTAATGAAAAACTCCAACCATAAAACAAACTCACTTATAATGAACAAATACTGCCAAATAGGTGCTTTTGCTTTTCGCTTTGACACCAAATCCTCCGCCAACATCTTGTCAGTCATCTTTCCTTATTCTATTCACATAAGTGAAATCTGCCTCTTGCTGTATGAAGCAGATGCTTTCAGTTTGTAATTGTAGCATCTGTTGTCCAAATTAACCAAATGGTGGGGGCAGTGGGCGAGTAACATTGTGTAAAATCGATAACACTGACTGACTACTTTACTTTTTTTTGTTTTGTTTAAAGGGGTCATATGATGCGATTTCATATTTTTCCTTTCTCTCTGGAGTGTTACAAGCTGATTGTGCATAGATAAGATCCCTGAAGTTGCAAAGACTAAAGTCTCAAAACCAATGAGATATTCTTTATCAAAGTTAAGACCCTAAAACGGCTCGTTCTAACACGCCCCCACATATCTACCTCACTATGTGGAAATATTTGCATAATGCATCTCAATCTTCCCTTTGTGCTTTGTACTTCTCTATGTGGAGTAGGGCTGTGCGATATTGAAGAAAAATGCGATATGCGATACCTTGTTAAAAATGCGATATTCGATATGCGATACGATATTGCTTAAAGTGTGTAAAATCAATTTAAATTATATTTTAAAATATTTAAAAATTAAACTAATTTGTTTCACATTCTTTCTTGGAAAATAAAGAATCACTATAACTTCTGAAAGTGACCAGCAGTGTTTTAGCATTACTTAAAAAGTAATGTCACAAATCAGAAAATGTAATTTACATCAATGTGAACATACAAACAAAAAAATTAATTACACTAATTTTATATCATTGTAACTTTGCTTTCCACACACTTTAAGTACTTCTTCATATACCACAGCAAAAACTATTGTCTGAGAGAGTTCAAACATGATTAAAGGCAAGTGAACAATCAGTAAAAGAAAAAGTTATTTTGTTATTGACCAAATACTTATTTTCCACCATAATTTGCAAATAAATTCTTTAAAAATCCTACAATGTGATTTTCTGGATTTTTTTCTCTCATTTTGTCTCTCATAGTTGAGGTATACCTATGATGAAAATTACAGGCCTCTCTCATCTTTTTAAGTGGGAGAACTTGCACAATTGGTGGCTGACTAAATACTTTTTTTCCCCACTGTATAAATATATTATTTTTCATGAATGTATTTTACAACAACACAAAGAGCTGTTTAATGTTTTACCAGATTTAGCCCTTCACATTCACTTTTATTTGTTCCCCACTAAATAATGTTTTTTTCACTAAAGGTTTAGATTTTACAAAATTATTGTCCACTCATGATTTTTCTAGAGTAACTTTTGCTACTGAATTATCCACTAACCTAGTTTTTATAGTAGTATTTTTGTCATAGATTATGATTATATATTTATTAATTTGTTGTTTTTCTTTACAAAGAAGTTGTCTATATGTGGTAGACTGTGTTTAACACACAAAAGAGTGATGATCAGGTCAACACATTGAGGTACAGAAATTCTACACTGATTAAAAAAAAATGAGCTGGTACCGGATCTGTATCAGTATCGGCCGATACTCAGAATTTCTGGTATCGAGCCACCCCTAAAAGAGACACAGCAACAGTGTGGATGGATGTCAGTGTTACCCAACTAATTACTATTCACAGCCCCACGCCAAAATTATTTCAAAGGTTTGTGTGAAAAAATCTGGAAGTCTGATTTGATTAATTTGAATTACAGAACATCAGTGATCAATTGAACAGTGTAGGAAGGGTATTTATGAAACTGTCTTTAGTGGTTGGACTAATAGTTCTACCTGTGGTGCGACAATGACAGTTCCATGTGATTGAAACAAATCTAGTGTACGGTTAAGGCGATGAATGGGTAAGGTGACTTTTTGTTTGACCAAGAAAAGAAAAGTACATCTGTAATTAAATGCAATAAAAAAAAAAATACAAAAGTTTTTTTAAACCTTTCTTTCATTATATATTTATTATCATTATTAAAAGCAAAACAATGTTTGCTCCATAGTTTTGAAGCAATTAAAATCACATTATAACTTATAAAGCACATATTAGGCCCTACATGTTAACTTATGAGGCAGAATGTTCTCCAGGAACAGACACGTTATTGTTATTATTGTATTAAACAGTACAGGCAATCAGTCCAAAACAATTGACCAATTAAACTATGCTTATGAGTATCTTTCATGCAACAAAAAAATAAAATTCGCTGTCGTTCTTTGGCCAGCTTAGATCATTCTCTTTTCCCACAGCAGCATACTCTGTAACCATTTTTTTCAAACAAGCTTTGTTCATCTGATATGCATTTTAAACTACTGTAAAAGGAAATCAGTGACCGAGGTTCTCCGTTCATCGCGCACACACTCAGTGTATTCCTTCATACAGACTAAGGCTGCACGATAAATCGCATGCGATGTTTAACGCGCATCTCATCAGTAAAGTCGGTTCTGTAATCAGCGGTAAATCTCCATCACGTGCGTGCTTTCACATTGAGCAGCATTAACTACACAGGGCCGTTGTTCACTGACGAGCTGCGCAAAAAAAAAAAAATCGCACGAATATGAACGTGGTTTTGCGCAGCTCGTCAGTGAACAACGGCCCTGTGTAGTTAATGCTGCTCAATGTGAAAGCCCGCAGGTGATGGAGATTTACCGCTGATTACAGAACCGGCTTTACTGATAAGATGCACGTTAAATATCGCATGCGATTTATCGTGCAGCCCTAATACAGACACAGACACTTTTAATGTTTATTTACATTCAATTATAACATAACATGTCGGTGCTGATAGCCTCGTGGTTACGCCGACATGTTGCGCAACTATGTCTCCAGCGACCTGTGTTTGATTCCCAACTGTAGTTCTCTGTAGTAATGCAATCTACTAAATGTTCACCCTGGTCAGTTGTATGTCAACCCTTTAACAGGTTCAGCTTGAACAGTGGCATCTTTAATAATTATAATTTAAGGTAACTAATTTTTCCTTTTGTCTGAACTATCGCTTCAAGTCTTTTTGGAAATTAACAAATTATGCCATTATTGGCTTGTGCACTGCTCAAGTCATAATTAAAAATGTGTTAGGGATAAATCTAAGACTACAACATAAATGGGAATTTACAAACTGTTAAACTAATGTTATGTTACCTTGTTATTAAACTTACCTTTATAGTTTTAATTGCCAATTTTGTAATCTGGGTCATCTTTGCTTTGGAGATCGGTGGCTTGTATTCATTCATTGAGCACAGCTGAAAAACATAAAATATTGCAATTTAAAGATCTTTATAATCCAAGTTATTAATTTATTCTAATGCGATCTGCTGAATGACATTGTGTATTTACAATATATATAAACAGTAATTCACATTTTTAATAGCACACAACAACAAGAAATACTGCAATCTTGTGCATTAAAATCTCATTCTCCTCTTTTAGACAACCGTCTACTTTAACTCATAAAGGAGATATGATCTGTTTAGGTTCTTTTTTGCTTTTTCGCTAAATGTAGGCTTATATAATAGATAATATAGAAACATAAACTTTATTGTCATTATAATAATACAACAAAGTTTGTTTGTTAGCTCTCAAGAGACCAGCAGCATTGAAGAAATATAAGAATACACAAGATATTATTATATCTTATCTATCCTCCTGAGACCCAGCTACAGAGTTTTTGCCTCTGTAGAGGACATTATATTTTAGTGAATTTCTCTGAGACCTCACATGTCAAAGTTTTAAGTCTGGATGTCCTGTACATAGCACATTCAGGGCTTTTCAGAGATACCTAATGATTGGATGTTTCGCCATGACCACTCTCTCTTCTTGGTTTTTAAAAATGGCTTTAATTTAGTGATAAAATTGTACATCCTTATGGAAATATGATAATATTTTGTAATTATAATTTAAATCTGATTAATTTTCCAAATTGTTTGTCATAAATCAACATCTCAGGAAAATATTATGGGGTTTCAAATCAAAATATGACTTCCTGTTATGAAAAAGGACATCATTTCATACATGTCCACTGTAGAGGACACCAGGACTAAAAGCATGTTTATTATACATTTTGGGAGACAAAAGAATTGAATAGGAAAACAAATTACATATCAATATTCTTATGAAAGATTAGATATTATTATGAAAATCTGGCCAATTACTACTCCCATCGTTACATTTATTTTTTCAACATGCTGTTCCAACAGCACTTTAATATGCAAATTAGATAGTGTATAGATAACATTGTGCTTAATGGGAAAACCAGTTTATGGAATTTTTACACACATATTGCATAAAGCAAAATGGTATATCAAATCATTTTGTTACATATTTTGAACGAATGTTCTTCATAGAGCTACTGATGCCAGTAAAGAGCCTTTATAAGAGTGTAACGTTACTGTATGATCACTAGCACGGCTGCTGCTAACGGTTAGCAATCCAGTTGTAAAAAACAAAACAAAGGCAGTGTCTCAAAGCCTATTAGGGCAACCTACAATATTTTAGGGCATCACATGCCTTTCCCTGGGCTGCAGCATTTTTGTGCTGATTCGAAACGAGCCTGTGATGCCGAAAAACGCTGTAAACTTGGAACGGGCCTACGGTGCCCTGAACGCGGTGTCTAGGTAGATTGCTCACCGCATGAACCTGAAACATTAGCGCTTATATTAACAACTCCTAAAATGAGTTAAATATGACTAACGTTAAGCAATACAATACTATAGATAATTATATTACTTAAATTACTTTTAGCTGCCTGACTAGTTTTCGTCAACATGCTGTCCACTCAGGTGACGAACAAAAAAGCCAAGCCAACTTCACTATAATCTGGAGCACGTAGTATTTTATTTTTCAATGTTTAAAGTGCACGCAAAGATTCAAACATACCCATCAGACTTTTAAAGATCAAATGTTGCGATTATGTAAGAAATATGATCCCCTGACAACAGCGGCCTAACGTTACCCTCGAGTTTATCGTGTCTACATTCATACAAATGAATATCATACAAACCTCGCCGTTAAACGCCTTGACGGCCTCCATTCTGTAGATTTGATACTGTTCTTTGAAACAGATCGAAAACGTTAAGCCTCTTCGTCCTTACGCCGGCCTGATACATGCATGTCCTGGAGCTAGCGGTGGTCGAGATGGAGGAGGGCGCTAATATGGCTGACAACGCGAAGACAAACACAGACCGAGTCATCACTGAGTCGACTCCGAGAGAGAGAGAGAGCGAGAGAGAGCGAGAGAGAGAGAGAGATTCATTGGTTGGGGAAATGAACAATGCCCTGTAAATCATCAGAGCCTGAGGTGCCCAAACCTTTTAAAACGAACTTGATGGGCCGAATGTAAATGTTGCATTATATCCAACTATATTATGTTAAATTACACATTTTTCTACAAGATTTAACAACATTTTATATTTCAAAATAAAATAAAAAATGTTAAAACAAAAAGATAAATTAGAAATGAAGATACTGGACTGGACATCTGTGATGTAGCTAATGATATAGGGATAATGTTTTTTAATTATTATGTATCCATATTTTTAGTGAATAGTCATTTTCAATTCAATTCAAGTTTATTTGTATAGCGCTTTTCACGATACAAATCGCTGCAAAGCAACTTTACAGCAAATTAAGTTTTTACAATATTTAGTGGTAGCTTATCAGTGGGGACTGTCAGTTACATGGCAGAAATGTACAGAAAAATCAATTAAAGACAATCAAACAGACGATGAACACTATTAACAGCAATTATTATATGATGCAATCAAACTTATAGCAAAATGTGGTAGTTCTGTATGTTGTTTCAGAGTTGGCATCATCTGAGGTCCTCTGAAGGGTTGGCATCATCTCTTCTCAGGTGTTCTGGATCCAGTGGCAAAAACAGAGAAACAAATAGAGACATAATTAGCGTAGCTGCTGTTCCAACCAAGCAAAATTGATTTGTTTAACCCAAGCTAAAGAATAATAATGTGCATTTGATCAGATATAGCTGCAGTACAAGATTATGTATATGCTGTAGAATTTACATTTGTTATTGTATTTCTGATGTTATCTATTTTATCAGTGAAGAAATTCATAAAGTCATTACTATTAACCTGTGAGGATATTTAGATCGGGTAGCGTCTGGTTATCAATTGTTCAATTGTTGTTAATCTAGCCACTGTGCTAAATAAAAACCTTGGATTGTTTTGGTTATTTTCTATGAGTTTGTGGATATGCTCGGCCCTGGCAGCTTTTAGAGCCTGTCTATAGCTGGACATACTGTTTTTCCACGCAATTCTAAAAACTTCCAAGTTAGTTTTTCTCCATTTGCGCTCAAGACGAGTTTCTTTCTTGAGAGAATGGGTATTACTGTTGTACCATGGCACAGTACGTTTTTTTCTCTAACCTTTTTCAATTTGATGGGGGCAACAGCTTCTAATGTATTAGAGAAGATAGTGCCCATGTTGCTAGTCATTTTGTCTAGTTCATGTGTATTTATGGGTACACAGAGCAGTTGAGATAAATCAGGCAGGTTATTTGTGAATCTGTCTTTGGTGGCTAGAACAATAGTTCTGCCCGGACGATAACGCAGAGCCATATAGTTAATATCAGTAATACACAGCATGCACGATAAAAGGAAATGGTCAGTGTGACGAGAGGGGCGGGGCCGAGAGCCGCGGGAATGGAGCGAGGCTGGTGGAGTAAATGCTAATGCACGAAATGCTGCGTCTCGAGTCTCACGGAGGAGCTCCGGAAGGATAAAAGGAGGAGTGACGACAGTGTTGGACGAGAGAAGACCAGGCCTGGATTTTATTTTGTGTTTTGGTTTTGTTTGTGTTTGTTTATTTTATTAAAGTGCTCTTTGAATGGTCGCCGGTTCCCGCCTCCTTCTTCCCGAACTACGAACTTTGTTACAGTCAGTAACATCATCACTTTGAGGTACGATATCAGTAAGATAAATTCCATGCGATAATTAAATCTAGCATATGATTAAAACGATGAGTGTGCCCGGTGACATTTTGCTTGACTCCAAAAGAGTTTATTAGGTCAGTAAACGCAAGTCCTAATGCATCATTTGTATTATCAACGTGAATGTTAAAATCTCCGACAATTAGCGCTTTATCAACAGTAACCAATAGTTCTGTGAGGAAATCTGCATACGGCCCTGGTGGTCTATACACAGTAGCCAGAG